TAAATAAAGGCATCACTCTAATCAGACTATATTATGAAAATGTTATTTAAAAAAAAGACCCAGGAGGATACAGTTGAGCCCTGCTGGCTGTTCACCTGAGGGATGCCCGCCTGTACCCTGTGGTGACTGCAGCCACGCGCTAATCAGATGAAGCCTTCCTCTTCATTTTTTATTAATGACAAAGTCAGATGCAGATGTCGAGTTTGTGTACAGTGATGAAGTGCTCATTATCACAACTGTCCCCCCTGTTGTGGGGAACAATAAAAGTCCACATCTGTGTCTTGTACGGAGTTGCTGTTAGTCTCTGGTATCCAGGCTACATTGCCTTTAAAAGGAAATATTTATTTCTTTACATAGGAGAAACCTATAAATATAATTTAATCGCCCAGCTCTATTCCTATAAATGCATTAAGAGGGCTTATGAAAATTGCCAGCTTTTCAGGGAGCTGAGTGCTCGTCATTGTTATGACCATTCAGATTTCCTTCGGGATGAAATTAAACTGTGCAGTGAGATTCTGTTGCTCTCTGTCCAGAGTGTTGTTGGAATTAAACATTGCACAGTAGTTGGTGCTTTGGTCTCCTGCAAAGAGCTTCTTCTTGAACCACCAGCACCCTTGATATAGGCAAGGCGCTGTTCCTAAGACATAAGGATTTGTTCACTTCACTAGACTTAAAGCATCTTTTTTTTTTTAAACCCCAAAATTTTGTGGCAGCAACTGTCTGCAAAGAGATGCTGAGTAGCTCCTTTTTGACACAAAAAGCAAACACATAGCAATACCTCTTGTGGCTGCTAGGTGAAAATGGCGTTTGAATAACTGGTGGCATGATAAAGCAAGTCCCATGGGGAAAATCTGTCTCCATTGAAGCCAGAAGGAAGGTTGCTGTTAATGCCTGGAGGTCAAGATTCACCTGATGTCAATCTGCGTGAAGCTGGTATGTGCACATGAAATGAGGAGCAGCCCGTGGGCTCGCTGGGAAGAGGAGAGCCTCCTGCAGAAGGCAGAAGCATCCAGAAATATCCAATGGAAAATGAGCAGAAAGTGGCTATCTAAACTGGAGTTCCGTGCTGAGATACTGTTGTGGAGCTGGGGGTGGCCTCTCAGCTAAAGGAGACATCAATGTGAGCATGGCTGGAGGAAGGCGTGCATGTCAGTAGGGAGAGCTTAAACATCCGCTGCCAGGACATTATTTCGAGGAGGTTGGTTGGTGGATGGTCTGCAAGCAGCCCAGCCACCCGTGCACTTCTTGGGCTGTGGCATTGGTGGAAAAGATGCTGCTGTGGGGACCACCAGGAGTTTGCTCAGGGCCCATCTATCCCAGCTGATGCTCATGGCCATGGGAGGAAGCATCAGGCATGTCAGGGAGGGATGTCAAGAAAATTGGAGTGGCAGGCTGAAAACTTGAACAGAAGTAATTCCCTAAACATTTGCTTTTATTTCTAAAGGCAGATGAGAGCAAGTGTGATGGAGCTCTACCTGTCGCTCTTGCTCCCAGTAAATATCAGTGGGTTACGTGGAGGAGGGTTTAAGAAGCTGTGAGATTTTGTTTGTTTGCTTCGAATAGTGGCTGCAAATCAAATAATATCAATAGGTGATGGCAGCCAGAAAACCCTGAAAGAAATATTGTCCACAAGCCTGAGGTGCATGTTTGTTTTGGGCAAAGCAGTGCCAGACACACAATATATTTAAAGGGCATTCTAAAGCTCTGGGAAATAGCTGGAGGATGGCAAAATAATTTTTGTGTGGAGGGTGAATGAAAACCCAGTGTCTGATCCAGCTAACTCTAACCAGCAGCACCATTTGGCAACGTGCTGGAACTGCTTCTGTGACCAGGGAAAATGTATTCCCAGGTGCAGATTTGAAGATATGCACACGCAGGTATATGTAAGTATGCATATGTCTATATAGATCTGTGTGTGTACATATATATATTTCAAATTATGTATGAGAATTCTCCTATTTTTGACATTTGTATGACATATGATAAATTTTTGAAGTCACTTCCTGGCAGATTTTCAGATTTCCACTTTTTGTTTCTTACAATTCACAGTGGAACAAAGTATTCTCCAGAGTGTGTGAATTCCTCTTCACAGGAAAATTATGAAATATTTTAATTTAGAAAAATCAGTCTGAAATGCCTAGGCTGTTAAGCCATAACTCCAAATTACTCACAGATAAAGGATGTGTTCACTTTCTTCTCTAATTTTTTTTTTTTTTTAGAGACAGAAGGAAAGCTTTTCATCGCCAGCCACTTCCATGCCTGGTGGTTGTATTTCACTGATGTAGCAAAGCTCAGGTGAAAGCTTCTGAAGCTTTCAGTGTGTCAGTGGTATCCACTTCCCCATATTACGATTTACCATACATTGAGAGTTTAGACAGAAAAGGAAGGCAGATGCTGGGAAACGGAAATTCTTTCTAAGCTCTTAATGGGCATGTTCAAAATACCAGTAGAAGGTTCTGACCTGACAACATTTAAAAATTTATTTTGGTGGATGCAAATTCCAGATGAACAATTATCTATCAGTAGATAAGGCATTTGCAGCTAAGAAACATCTGGCAGTTTATACAGACAAAAGTAGCTGCCCTGTTTCACCAATATTTGCTAAGATTTTAGTGCAGTTATTCTGTATGCTGATGACAAAAAAATTATTCCTTAAACTATTCAGAGGCAGAATTTGTTGTGAATGTGATCACTACGTAAAAGTGTTTGAACCATGTATACTCCTCTGGTAGGTAAAACATCATAATTTTTATGAAAACCTGGATAGCTAATAAAGCTATTTTCAGCTAATTCAGAAGGAGAAGAACCTCCTACTGAACTGAAATGATAAGGAAGCACATTATATAAACACCGTGTACTCATAATGGCCAGGTCTTGAACAAGTCATAATGCCTTCCTAAGATGAAATTGATAGAGATAAATGAACTATTGTGTGAAATGAATGTAATTATAAAAAATTTAACCCAGGAAGAGGCCAAGCACCTGCTGAAAAGAATAAGATATTTTTCATATGTGTTACTTGTACGGAAAACCAGACAGAATTAAGAAGAAGGAAAATCAGGCCAAGCAGGAACATGGTTTTCTAGGAGTCTGCTGCTTAATGCCTCCCCTTAGCTGTTACACTGTTTTGAAAATATGTCTTCTTGTAACCTGGGGAACTTAGCGTATAGTTAAAGACCCTTGTACAGGTATCTTACAAAGTAAGCACTCTTCTCTCAAGGCAGGCTTTAGACCCTTTGGCTCTAGGGATTTGATGTGCTGGACACAAACCGCAGCCAGCAATGTATCTTCCTGCAGTGCCTGAGCGTGGTCTGAGCACCAATGACAGAGACATCGGTCACTCCCATGGATGCTCTACACGGCACCCTTGATACTTTGTACTTACAGTATATGTAACTGAAACTTTTGCTACAGATTCCTCCCATCAGGCAGGATTAGTGAGTTTGTTGCTTAATTCTTAGCGAATCCTTTTTGTCTGCACCAAGGCGATAGCATGGGGCCATGAAAGTGTAATTGGAAAAAATCCTCCTACAATCTCAAGATGTTGTCTGTATGATGCATCTAAGTTTCATTTGCCTGGGAACAAGGTCACTTATCATCCTCGTCTTCTATGAAGGAAAGTAATATACTATTGACAAACCAAGGGCCAACATTCAGTTCCAGAGAAAACAATTATTTATTCATGCTAGTATCTCTTATCTCGGCTTGCATTTCTATTTTTAACTTGTGGTTTCGAAAGGAGGAATTGATTATAAGAAGCATCTCTTCTAGTCTGTGTTTTCCTTGAATGCTTTGCAGAATAATGTACTACATACAGCTCGTGCAGGAGGATGCGGGTGGAGGCAGCTGTGCATTTTGCATAGGGCCAGAAAAGGTGTCAAGAGGGGCCAACAAAGTAGGTGAGAACAAGGGGTCCCTGCAAGAAACACGAGCAAAGTCTGAGGAACTTCTGGGCAGTTTAATGTGGAGTTTGGAGCACTGTCACAGATGTGCTGGAAAGAGCTTTCTTCCGTGTTCTGTAAGTAGAGAGGATGAAGGAATGTGGTCTTCACCCTGGCTGGCAGCAAAATACCACAACAGCCGCTTGCTCACCCTCCCCACTCCCAGGGATGGGGAGAGAATTAAAGGGGTGAAGGGAAAACAGACTTGTGGGTTGAGATAAGAACAATTGAATAACCAAACTACAATAATATTGAAAATAATAATGATAATAATGATAATAGTAATAGTTATATAAAAATATACAAATGAGTGATACACAGTAAACTGCTTACCACCTGATGACCAAGGCTCAGCCTGTTCCTGGTTAATGATCCTGAAGCAGGGAGAGTCCAAAACTGCCATCCCGGAAGGGAGACTGAGAGCTGACCAAGAGAGTGAGATGACCCTGAGAGGGAGACCACCCAGAGACAGAGGACCCAGAGAGAGAGAAGATGACCTAGAGCAAGCAAGTACTTCCAGACAGAGCCTCACCTATACACTGGCCATGCCGTGCATGATGTGGAATAGACCATTGGGCAGATTGGGTCTCAATCCTAAACCTAAGGTCAAATCCTGGGCTAGTAACTGGGGCTGTGCTCCCTCCCAGCTTCTCCTGACCCTGGAGACACTGGCACAGAAGAGAAGCTGAAAAGTCCTTGAATGCTGGGTGGCAACTATAAACATCAGTACGGAATCAGCCGCTTTCTCAGCACAAGTCCAAACACAGCCTCACACTAGCTACTGTGAAGAAAGTTAACTCTGTCCCAGCTGAAATCAGGAAAAGAAACTGAGTATTGCTTTTCAAGGCCAATGCATGGCCAACTGACCTGGATGAACCAAGAAGTTTCCAGCAGCAGTGTTGTCCTTTAAAATGTTTTAATCTCAAATTACTTGCTACCTGGCATTTCTCATCAATGAAAAATTGCTCATGAAGAAGGTGATGGGCCCAGCAGGGAGGAAACATGATCACATGGATAAAAAGCAATGGGCAGCTGGACGGGACAGGTGAACTCTAGTTCCCTTGCTTTGTAAAAAATAGCCTTATCTATTGGATGAGCCATGTAGAAAAAGCAATGAAACCAAATTGTGTCAATTACTCTATTAAATTTTATCAAGTCTCATCCTCACTAATTGTGGCTTGGCTTTGAAGCCAGGAAGGCTGAGCATCTGAATATAGAAATCACTTACTATTGCTGCGTCAGAGGAGAATTAAAAACCTCATAAATTTCCTCAAATTATCTTTAAGTTAATGATGATGCCTTTAAGGACTTCTGAGCAATCAATAAAATGAAAATTATAATTATTTTTATTGATTGGTCTATTTTGTTCTCATCCCTCAGAATGAAAAAGTGAAACAAAATGAAATGGTTCTTTTTTACCTCCTAATCTCAGTTGAACATACACTTGCAAATGTGGCTTTCCTAAATAGCAGTAGCAAAAACGAACTCACGTTTTGATTTTAGAACCCACTGGGCTCTATTCAGATGGAAATTTGATTTCCATGGTTTACCCCTTTGAGAGCTGGAGCTGTTTCCATGCCTCAACTGCGATGCAGGCTAATTACAATTTGCGAGCCACACATTTTTCCAGACTGCTCCCATGGCAAATGCTGAATTTTGGCCACATTTCCCCTCATTTCTTCAATTGAATTCTGTATGTGGCTGATATAGCATTGGGGAAATTGTCACCACTAACTTATTATCAGAGCAGGATGCAGCAGAGACTGGCAGAAAGATAAGGGGACTCCGACTGAAGACAGCCCAACGCTGCCAAACGCCAGATTTGTGTGTGTGTCCTGGGTGTGATTTAGTTCCTAATGTATGCAGGGTGACGAGGCAATTTTTCCTGCTATTGTCTTGCTATTCTTCATCCCTATTATTCATTCCATTCACTGGCATGGTCCTCATGTGTTTATAGCGGGCTTTTCTGTCAGTGTTCTGACATTTCGGAAGGATGGTTTGGTTTGCTCTTGCCTTTGGAGTAAGGCTTTATTCGTTACTGTTCTGCACCAATGTACATGGACATGCTCTACTTCCCAGCTAATGCACAAACCTGGAAGGATCTCACCACCTTCCTACCAAAATTCAGGTCGTCTTTGACTATGTCCTTCATCCTCTCACAGGCTGACAGCTCTCTGAGTCTTGGAGAGAGTCAATGCAAAACAGGCTCGAGCACATCGCAGCTCCTGCTGCCGATGCAAAAACCCTTCTCATGCATAATAGCACTTTGGGTGGATTTAAAAATATTAAAATAAAAGGTCAAGAACTAGAAATCGTCGGCAGCCTGCCTGGCCAGTGTGATAAGATAAAGCTGTGTACTCCCAGCTGTGGAAGTGTGACATTAAGTCTAATAGATTTCTAGAAACCAAGTTTATCAGCAATCCTCACTGTTTGTCTCTTCAACATTGGAAAGATACAGTTTCTGTACATATAGTCATAATTATCTTCAAAATTAAAATGCGTAAGTGCCTTCCTCCTACAGAAACAGGATGGTCACAGTTTCAGCCAGTGGTTTCCCTCAGCCATGGTGGTATTTTAGGGGAATCTTGTATGTCTGGTTGTGGAAAACGTCACCCATTGTGTGTCTAGCACTTGAACAAGATCTGTTGATGCCTATTCATGCCATGAAAGAGCAAGGCTTTCAGTTCCCATACATGAAAACCTCCAGATGCGTTTACTATTTTTATTTAGAGAAATTTAGTCCTCATCGCTGTTCTAATGAGTACTAATGTTCCTTTTTTTTTTTTTTTTCTTTTTTCAGTCATCTCTGCTTTGGTTCTCCACAGATCTCTGCTTATTTACCAGAGGTAGTAGAAGTAGTCACAAAAATAGCAAGGTTTCAGGAATCTATAAGGACTGAAGCTGCTTTTTGATATAAAAGAAAATCCAGTTTAGCTGCTATCAGCTGAGTTTTCATTACATTTTCAGCTGCTACCTGCACAATCTTTTAGAATGCAATTACCATAATAAGAAAAAAAACATCTCCATAATTATATGTGCGTAAAGCAAAATGCCTTTCTCTGGCCACACAGCTAGAGCTGCAGATCCAGCTCTGCATGCTTGCAGAGGACGCAGGGGATTAGGGAGACACAGGAATAAACACCAGACAATCACTGCCCCATATGGTGCGTATTATAGGCAGATGCGTTTTGATCAGGATCAGCCGTGCAGAAGGTAAACCCAGTGATCTTGTCTCGTTTACACTGAACTAACTTTGATCACTGTGTAGGTTCATGTGGTTTAAAATTTATGCTCACTTTAAAACGACTCTAAATGTGCTGGGGAGATTTGTGTCCTCAGAAGGCCTCCTGAGCCAAGGAACGAGCTCCGACCCTCTGTGGCTGGTCAGGGTGTGCAGGGGGTTTCCCATGCAGGGATGGGATGGGATGGGGATTTCCTCCACCACAGTTGACCTAGTGCTGGTGCTTTTTACAGGAGGTGTAGCCCTGGCACTTTCTAGTTCTTTAGAAAGCGAATAAAAGAAAATCAGATTTCCAGATGGCGTGTTCTCAACAGATACCACTCTTTCTTCCTTAGATACCGATAACGCTGTACAGTTTCTTCTCAGCAGACAAGATGAATCCTAGTAATTTTTTATTTCCATGGAGCCATTTCCATGCTGAGCTTTCAATTCTACTCCTCCACCTCCTTCTTGCCTGATAACCGTGAGAGTAGACTTTTAGCTTATAAAAGAGAGCTACACCTTTTATTGAAAAAGATGGTTTGAAAAACCAGCATTCCTGAAGGGGGAAATAGCCAGAGCTTAGTTCTTTTTGCTAGAGAATAATTCAACAAAAACTGTTAGATGTATATCACCATCCATAGGTAAACACAAGGCAATTATAGGCAGGCATGCACTATTTCAGGTTTTCTTCCATCTTTATGTTATCGAAAACAGACTCGGTTTTGGGTTCTTACTTGGTAATTGGCTAATAACTATAATTTTCATCTTAAGAAGATATACTAGAAAGCACTGTTCAGAAAAGCCCTATAACATAACAAGTGATCCATTCTTCATTACACTTGATGCCTTCAGTTTACTGCAGTCATTTCATTTGCGATTATGAGCTAAAAAAAGAAACAGCAAAAACCCACTCAAGCAATTTCAGTTTGGAAAGCCATAACACAAATTAGGACACAAAGAAACAGCAGGCAATCAATTTGTCATTTGCCGCTTTATTCTTTAGCAGTTTGCAGTCATTGCGGAGTTGCTTTTGAAACTTGTAAAATTTGATTATGTGAAACCTGGTGAATGTCAGGCTCTGGTCATTTCTGTGTTGTGTCGTTTGAGTTGTTTAGAGAACAGAGCATTTGTAGAGGTAGATCCGTCTGGCATCTGCTAATGTTCTGCGCAAGTACACATCGCTAAAACTTAGTGCGGAAACCCTGGCAGCTCTACTGTTGTTTTCTAGCATTAACCCAGTTCAGAGACGTTTCTCTCCCACTAAAGCAGGCATATGTCTCTTCAGAAGACACACTGTGGACCCACATCTCCAGACCAGTGCAGGAATCAGCTGTGGTCCAATGTGCAAGGCTGACTATTGCGTCTCCTACAGTATCTGCCATGTGGGTGGAATATTATAGAAATAGAATGACATTTTTTCACACCACAGTTTGAATGACACTCCTGTCAGCCCATTAATAAGAAGGGGTTTGCCTGCGATAGACCGGGAGAAGTGGTGGTGCCACATGCTGCTCTGCAGACCTTACACCTGTTCACATTTATTCACAGGTGACCTCAAGAAGGCTTTTCTGTTTTTTATCCTCCACAATGCTTTTCTTTCTGCATTCAGAAATGAGGATCTCATTAACCTTGTCTAGCCTTGATGTCGAATTGAGTTGTACAAATATTGTTTGCAAGCAATGGATGTGCTCAGAGCACAGCCCTGCAGAAGCGCAATGAAAGACAAACTAACAGAAGAGAGGAAGGGCAGTGACTTGTGGGCATCTTGTGTTGGGTTTGGGCTCTGCTGGCAGATTCAATTGGTTTTCCCTGACTTGAAACCAGCTCTGCTATGTGCTGGGGCAATGGTCTGAGCACTTTGGTATCCCATGGCAGACCCCCCTTCTGCTAAAACCACTGTCTTTTGTGTAGTCTATTAACTAGATATTGTTAACTATAAATAAGAACATGACAACTTTGCCAGCTTCCAAAGTTGTTTTTTTCCCTTTTATTTTTCTTTGTACTAATGCATATTCAATTATATTTAAAAAATGCATACTTTCATCATGAAAATCTACAGGTCTAATACCAAAATGTCCTGCTGCCTCATGATATCCCTGCAGATGAGAAGCCAGAGTTCATTTCCCCACCTGAAGCAGATTAGGATGTTAAAATCAGTTTCCTTGCCTCAGCCTCTGCTTGTTGGCTATAATGAGACTGAAACTGTCTCCTTTATTTTTCCTAGGCAAGAGAGTTTCTGGCAGAGGTACTCAGCTGTGGGAGAGGGTTTCCCAGAGAAGACTTCTGAAGGGAGGGAGATAGATGCAAAATCCCTAAAGGACAAGGTTTACCTGCTGTCCCTTGTTCTAGTCTCACCATGGGAATTTAGGCATCTCCCTGCTCAGCTCTGTGGTTGTGGTGGCTCCTGCTCTCCTGCCTCTCTGGTCCATGTGCTGTGCAACAAAGAAAATTGCTCCTTGTGGACTGTCAAAGCTGAACTGCTTTGAGTAAGTGCATTCACTTGTTTTAGAGGTGGGCCAGGTACTTTATTCTGCACTGTTGTGTGAGTAAATGTCCTTACTAGACTTGCCACATGTATTTAAGTAACCTTTATACTTAAAAATCACATTTGTTGTGAATGAAGTTCAGAGTTATCTAGTGATTGAGATAAAGCGTGGTCAAAAATAGCATCATCGTGCCTCCCAAAGAATTTCCCTTACTGCCTGATTCTTAATTAGCTCTGTTTTTTTTTTTTTTTAAAAAAATTGATGTTGAATTGCTTTTTTTGGTGTTTAGGTTAGGGTTTGGGGGTTTTTTTTGGTGGTTTTTTTTGCAGTCTTTGCATTGGCTAGCCTGATTCTGCAGCTGATCATGTTTGGCATGTTTCAGTCTCAGCAGTCCAAAAATCAGGTTTTCATCAACAGAAGTATGCAGCACAAGGCTTATTGTCTCTCATTCAAAGCACATTGCAGACAAGCCTGTGTTTCTGTTTGATGAACACCAAAAGACCCAACATTCAGGCCTGCCAAGGTGAATCACGTTGGGATTGCAGAACTCGGATGCTGCTATTTTTCCCTTTTGTACTTCAGCCCCCACTTTACCCACCTACCTACAACCTAACCTTCTGGCAGGAACCGCATCTCTTTATTTTACCCCACATACTACTTTCAAACATGGTGTGAAAGAAAATCCAGGGTCCACATTTACTGTGAAAATCTTCGCTAGCTATTTTTTAGCCTCTCATTCCTTCTCTATCATGCCACTGTAAAATTATAGGCTAAGGACAAGTTTCATTTCAGCCTTTCTATTATTTGCTGAAATAAGTGTCTGGTGTAAAGGAAAGCACTAAAATCTAGGTTATTTCCTTACAGAACATGTAGATTCAGCAGCATGGTTCAATATTAATAACAACTGAATGGCTAAATCCCTGCAAACTGGGATAAAAGTTTGCTCCTAGGGATCCAGCAAACACACTTAAACCACTGAATTATCTGAATTCTAAAATAGCCTTCCAGCAGTACCACGGGGCCAGGCTGCACTTTGGGTTATTTTGCTGTATCTGGAATTTTGAGGCTATTCCAGAGACAGTCAGGCACAATGAAAAGCAACGTTGGGCAAACATGTGAAGACTCAAGGTATAAAAGGATTAACAGATGCTAATGTTCCACATTTTTCTGCTGCAATAATATAAGTACAGACAGCACCCAGAGCAAAGCAGAGGGGAGAAGAGAGTGCATGCAGGAGGGACAGGAAGACACAGTTATAATAGTGTGCTGTAGTAAATTTTGAAAAAGGCAACTGTTGAACAGATGTTACTGGCACATGGAAAATTTAGGAAGTAGATGATTTGCAATTTACTGGTCCAATGAGGAAAAATGGCTTATTTCAGTCTAAAATTAAACATTTCAGTTTCTCCAGAGAAATATAACCTCTAAAATAAAAAAAGAAAG